CGTTATTGTTATCTAAATGTTCTTCAAATGACTTTCCTATTATATCAATGAGAAAAAAATCTATTTCATTATTTTTCAGTGCATGAAAATATCGTGCGGAAAAGTTACTTTACCGCACTAGTGCTGAAAAGTTACTTTTTCGCACGATTTTTGTATTGTTGAAAATACGGATATTTAGGACTAACTAAATATTATATATAGTGTGTCCCACTTATCATGCTCACCATGGGTATCTTTTTAACGGTGAGAGATACGAGGTCGGTTAAATGACACCAAATGTGGAGTTTGTCAAGGCCAACTATAATGTGAAAAAATATTTTGATAAAATCTTTTCGTTTTTGTTTTATACGCAAAAAAACAGATTTTGATCATTTTCATGTCTCCTTTTATTTATGAAAATATTCAAATAGGAATTTCACATTCTCATGGCAGTTTTTCGAAGTGATTTCGAAAATAATATGAAATTTATACCAACTCTTGTAGAATTCGAGATATCAGCACCAACTTTAGTTTTTCAAATGTAGGTCATAGCTCACTATGACTTAGTTACAAATAGCTTTTTTTTGTCTTACAGATGATGTGTCGCAGTAATAGTTTTGTGTTGAAAACAACGGAGTTATCGTCATTTATACAAAAACAAAAAATTATTTGGAAGCCGCCATCTTGAATTTATAAATTTAAACAAAAAAATCATGATCTCCGACCTCAAAAACCTCCACTTACCAATTTTGAATGGAATCGGACCAAATCTTGTCCGCCATCTTGGAGCAGCCATTTTTTTTAATTTCAACAAAAATTCCATAAGTAACTCCGATTAACTTGAAATTTGTCAGGTGTTCATAATTTCGGTGACAATACATTATGGAAAAAACATTCGTAGGAAAAACCATGTACTTAACTCCCTGCTCTCCCTATCCTCCCTAGGTACGCACGATGTTCTTCGAACATAATAGGAATTTCGTTTCGTGCGCTCCAAGAGATAAAAAAATACATAACTGGTGATGAAATGTTCATTTCGACACCAGTTACGTCACAAAAATATGGATGGACGAAGAGAATTGTACATACATGCTGATGTTTCCTCGATATCACTTGGGAAATCTGAACTCGTCTTAGAATCGCCTAAGAAATCACCTCTTGTCCATCTCTTGTCTCGCCTTTTGTAGTTAGGTTAGATAGTTATGAATAACACCCTGTACTTTTATACATACATAACTCAACAGTGTTTGATGGTGAATTCATACAGAACTCAAATTAACTCAACTCAACTTGAGGATAATCTGTGATAATTGGTTGATTTTAGTTATTGATAGGTTATTCACCAACTTCCTAAAATTATATATAGTGAAGACAACTATTCATAGAAATATTCATTAAATGTGGTAAACAAGTCCAAATATTCAAACAGTCAGGGCGTACAAAAAAAAATATAAGTATACCTACCATGATACTAAAATGGTCAAGGTTTTAGTATCATGAGTACCTACCAACTAGAACGTATACATCAAGCCTATGACCTAGGTATACACCCTTCCGAAGTGTATTATCGAGGGTGAGATGTTTATATTTCCATACATCTATATAATATGTTTATAAAGAGCCTGTCTGTGGAATCATGATACAATTTTTGGAACAGTCTAGGAACAAATCGAGGAACAAAACATGTGGGGAGTACAATTTTTATCTATTTACTTGGGCTCATGCAGGTACTTCGAAGTTGGAGATTGAGCAAGGAGGAAGGAAGGCATTTTTTGCGCCCAATCGAATGTTTCGTAGGTGATCGTCCCTTGTCAGAAATTCAGAGTTCACTAGGCTGGTAAGTAGGTGGATATTTTGTATATTTCAAAACTTACTTACATGTTAGTGTTGTTGCCAAGGTAATAGTTTGCCATATCCGGGTTTGAACACTGAGGGGTCGCAACACACAAAAATGTACAACACGCGGTGTTTTCGCCCGAAACTAAATTATTTGGGCGCCTCCATACACCACATAGCGCGAACCATGCGAACACGATAAACTGACAACAATGACAGATTGAAATCTAGAGCTACAGGCGCCGACGAATCAGACGATCAAGAGACGATTCCACAATCATGCGCAGATCAGGAGCATTTCGATGTTGCCAATAGCATAGTATTCTCTGTGTTTACACGATAATTTCTTAAAATTAAAATAATGTAATGAGCATCCGACATTCCTTCTGTTCTGATGTAAGGATTCGATCAATAATCTATGCATTAAGATTCGCTATTGTATCTAAGATGCCTTTTGAGATTATCTCAAAGTCCGTACACCAGTTGTTCATTCATTCTCTGAATGAGAATTTGAATTCAGAATTTACTGCACCGTATATTACAGAAACAGAGAGTCTGAAACCTACTATATTCTTTGGTCTGAATGCAAAATTGCAAAATTGGATGAAAAATAGAACGTCCTATTTTTCATTCATTTTATGTTGAAGCGCTTGCGCATAACGCCGTTTGTATTGTTTGTTTTGTTTTTAAGTGAAAAAGAATTTTTTTGGGGTTATGCTAATGTCACCTTGTTGGTTTCTTGAAAAGGTAATTGATGTACCTAATATGAATTACAAATAATATATGTCCACAGAATGATTTCACTGTTATCACAAATTTAAATAACATCAGTTCGATAATGGTATGGTCTTCGGAGCATGTGTTGATGCTTCAATTGGAAGAATACCAAAAATATCCCTGTTTTTTTGTAATCTCGTTTGCAATCAAACACCCAGAAACGCTCTAGTAGATGCTTTGACAAAGATGAAATATGTGGATTGAGTATCTACCTCATTTCTGGTGAAATATACGCTCTCGCATATTTTAAATTTTTTTCAATTATTTTGTCCAGAACAAAAGTGAACTGATCATTATTCATTCTTATGACATTTGTGGATACTTATGTGATAAAGGGTTTTCAGAAAGGTGAAGGTGTTCATTTTGTACCACAGTTCAATCAGAACTCCTAGCTCACGGATGTTTCTTCTTTGGAGCGATTCACGATACTTTTTTTTATATTTTTCAATTTCAATTTTCTTGAACAAATACGCTGAGCATAGCACCCACTTATGCAGAACTACAGACAGATATTTTTTAAGAATACCATTCTTCAATCTTGAATATCTTCTTCCAAAAATATATTTTGAGGTTACTATACACGCACAACCGGCATGTGCATCTGCATTGCATATCTTTTCATAACATGCCGCAATACATCTCAATCATACGAAAGCGTAGAAAGGCCACTGTTGTGTGTATTTTATTTTATTTCTTTATTCAGACTTTGAAGTCTGAATTCAGACTTTTTTCTCTGAATTCAGACTTTTTTCTCTGAATTCAAACTTTTTTGTCTGAATTCAGACTTTTTTCTCTGAATTCAGACTTTTTTCTCTGAATTCAGACTTTTTTCTCTGAATTCAGACTTTTTTCTCTGAATTCAGACATTTTTCTCTGAATTCAGACTTTAAAATCTGAATTCAGACTTTTTTCTATTAATTCATTGAATAACACATTCACATTAGGTAATACCGAGGGTAATACACTGACTTCAGTAAGTACCTACCTTTTATGTCATTTATTTTTCATGGGGTTGATTAATTTTATTATTATTTGCAGGTCACTACGTCAAAACGTCAATAATAAATGATGTGATGCTTATTCAAATATATTTATTTCTGACTGGTATATTATAAGCTTATATCATCTTAGTTACACTATCAATTAGGAGGGACATAACTCCCTTGGGATGTTATAGATGCTATAATTCCCTCTAGCTAAAATTAAATAGGAAAAGCATAGCAACAACCACGCAATAACGTAGCAATAAGGAATCTCCTATTCGCGGTAGTCAAGATCATCATCCGACGTTCTGATGACATTGAAACTATACGGAAAAACATGTCTAACTTCCAATCGGGAAGGTATCTAATGAATGAAATCAGTCAGAAATAAAATTATCTATGTATCACGGGAATTATAGAGCCTTAATAACCTTTGGCAATTGCTGTCCCTCGGGCCAGAGGCCCTCGGGACGCAAACTTTGCCATCGGTAATTAAGGCCCTCATAATTCCCTTAATACATAAATAACTATTATACCCTATATAAAAAGCGAGAATATAGTTTATATAATATATATGGTGAGTCTCACTTTTCATAGGGTAGTTGACAGCATAAGTGCTGCCAAAATAGTATAACTTATGACCAAATCAATCCTTCGGATATAATGCAAGATTGATGATTAAACAGATCATCAATAACTCGACTAACTCGAGAACTATATTCGACATTAACGATACTAACTCAACAATGGTTTGGGTAGCATGGCATGCAAAGAGACTGAATTCAAAGAAAAAAGTCTGAATTCAGAGAAAAAAGTCTGAATTCAGACTTTAAAGTCTGAATTCAGAGAAAAAAGTCTGAATTCAGAGAAAAAAGTCTGAATTCAGACTTTAAAGTCTGAATTCAGACAAAAAAGTTTGAATTCAGAGAAAAAAGTCTGAATTCAGACTTTGAAGTCTGAATTCAGAGAAAAAAGTCTGAATTCAGAGAAAAAAGTCTGAATTCAGACTTTAAAGTCTGAATTCAGACAAAAAAGTTTGAATTCAGAGAAAAAAGTCTGAATTCAGAGAAAAAAGTCTGAATTCAGACTTTAAAGTCTGAATAAAGAAATAAAATAGAATACACACAATAGTGGCCTTTTTACGCTTTCGTACAATCATCAAACAGCAAAACAAAGTTAATAATTCAAGGAAACCATAACTCCATCCGCTTTTTTTTCAATTCTATTTATTCTGCAAAAATTGCGTGAATTTTGCACGGATTCATTGCAGTAATTTGCGCGGATTTTCTAGCCTATAATCTATTGGCACTTGGCAACACTGCTGACTCGGTACACCACACACTGTCACTAACGTCACTTTTGACACTACTCCTGTCAGTCCTGTCACTCCTGTCCAATCTCCTCTAGGCTCTAACAGTCTAACGTCTAACTAAAATCTTATCTTTGTGCAATCTGCATAAGTGTAATGTGTTGAATATACATTCATTTGAAGTGAATTTTAATTAAAGTATATAGATAAATATCCAAAATGTCTAAAATCAATGAAAGAGACAGGGCACCTAATTATCAAACATATAAATTAGTCATAGTAGGTGGAGGAGGTGTAGGAAAATCTGCTATTACACTACAGTTTATTCAGGTATGGATCTGAAAATATCTCGATAATCAGGTGTAGCCCTATGCGAGGCCCTATGTCATATCTACTTAAAACTAATACAAAGTCCTTGATAGGAGTGTAAAAAATCATTCCTTCCTGTCTTTATATGGACTGCTAAAATCAGCACATAACCTTGTATTTATCCTACACAAGTTTAGAATTTGGCCATGGAACTTTTTATTTTTTCCAGAGCTATTTTGTAACTGATTATGATCCTACAATTGAAGATTCTTATACAAAACAATGTGTTATTGATGACATACCTGCAAAATTAGATAGTAAGTATAACATCTAAATTATAAATCATCCAAGTAGTTTCATGAAATATTTACACACTGTTTTATGTTATGATGGGTTTGAGAGTGTAGTTCAAGAGGTAGTTCATCTATGAATTCATGCAAGTCCCCCTTTTTAGTTTCAAGAATGTTGATTAAACATTTCAAACATCACTTATACCTTATACATTGGTATCTTGCATAAATCCGTCCTTAAGGGCACAAGGTGGAACCATAGATCTAAACAGAACACCTTGTTTAGATCTATGGTGGAAACCAAGCATCAGTATTCATACACTTTTTATACATTTTTATCACTCTCAGGTACTTAGTGATTTACCAGAATATCAAGAATTATACTCCAGCAGTTATCTAGCAATTCAAAGAAAATTAATTTTTATTTTCATCTTCAAGACCCTGTATTTGGCAAACAAAGCCTTCTATGACCTATGTTTATGGAACCTATTTTTAATTTTTTTTGAGATGACCTATTACCTCTTGAAGTATGTCCCACATATTATGTTTGCCAATGATTGATAGGTAGGTATTATCTGGATTATTATATGAAAAACAGCAACTTGTTACAGTTTTAGACACTGCTGGTCAGGAAGAATTCAGTGCAATGAGAGAACAATATATGAGATCAGGAGAAGGATTCTTACTTGTATTCTCTGTGACTGAAAGGTCAAGTTTTGAGGAAATATTCAAATTCCATAGGCAAATCTTGAGAGTTAAAGATAGAGATGAATTCCCAATGTTGATGGTTGGGAATAAGGTATGTTAATATAATATTAAGATTGATCACTAAAAATTGGCATGGATATTATTTCATTATTTTGAAATACAGGGTCTATAAATAAAGATGGTAGAATCTAAGTGACCCAAACAAGATCACTGTTGCAGTCACAAACTGTTTCCTCCTCAGAGCTCATTTAATTAATTTATAGCTGTTTCATTCAATCACATACAAGTACAAGTTAGATCTATACTGGGTGTTTTGTTCACAAATGTATAAATGGAAGAGGTGATGAATAACATGATTTTGAACTTCCTGTATGATCTAAGTTTTGAACATATTTATTTAATCACCAACTTAATCATATATTCTCTTAAACAAAGTGTTATGCACATTAATATGTTTTTTTATATTAGTTATAACTGAAGTTCTGGCAATTGTTTTATTTGATTCCATCTGTTTTTCTGAAAAGTTCAATATGTATTCTTTCCATATAATATATGTAATCAGATCTGCATATGATTTTGTGGCCCAGTAGAATTTGTGAAAATAACTACTGTAATATCTTAGTTGATATTCAACTTTTTATGTTGATAAAATAAAGTGTAAATGAAATATTCCTTCAGATATTCTCAAAATCAGATAAGTAAATTTGACCAAACATTTATTATATTATATAGGATGGTCCTGAAGTAGGTTACCTACATGAAAGTATAGTGGGATGTTCAGTTCATAATATCAACCATTTGAAGCAGCTTGCCTCAATAAAATATTCACAATGAGGAAAATATTGCTTATTAGAGAGAAACAGGTTGTCAAAGAGTACATTTCAAAATTTATTTTTCTCAGTTTCATTAACCCTTAATCAGATACTGATCTGTGTAGCAAAATTTGTAAATGCATGAGAATTATTTTCATTATGAATATGCCATGTGAATACTTTTACCATTTCTATGAATGGTGCGAGCATGATTTTTCAGTGTGGGCCAAAGAGTGGTTTATGGAATCAACAATACATTTTTCCGCAGATTTTTCCGTGTATCAATCAATCAATCATTTATCGCTGTTATTATACAATAAATGTATTTACAGTGGTGTTCTTTTGAGTATGTGTTCAAAGTAATGAATTTTGAGCCATGGAATATAATAGATGGCATCAAAGCTTTGGCATCTGATGAGAACTACAATAATATTGATGAATAGTTCGAATGATATCTCTCATCCTACCAAAAAACTACAATAGGAAAACTCGAAAAGCATTTTTATCAGGATTACCGGAAAAGTCAAGATAGTGTTCAGGAGCCTCTAGTGCCTAAATTGACCAAAGTGAATGGATGACCTCTGAACATTTTGTTCAGAAGGATTTGGACTACAACATTATTATTATCATTATCAAAAAATGAGAATGGGCTGAGGTGTGAACCAATAAAAGCCCATCCATACATGAAGTAGGTGTATATGCTACACATAAACAAAAAATGAATAAAAATAGTTACCAGACTAACAGTTAGATTGAAATAGAATAGAAAACAATTTAAATATTTAATAGAAATTGAACATTTCAAAATAAAATGAACAGACATATAGTGCAACTTGAAGTGAAAACATAAATATTTTTGAATGATGAACTGAGGGTGCATTAACTGTGTCTGCATCCAGGTTGTTCCATGCCGAGAAAACACGTTTAACTATGAAGTTCTGCCGGTTTGGCGTCCAAAAATGTTCCTTCATAAGTTTGAAATTAAGTCCTCTTGGTCGTATATCAGCATTATTTATCTGGATCATATCACTCAGTGATGAAGAATCCGATAAGTTAAAATCAAATTTCCATGATGTCTTTGATCTTCGAATGTTTTCTGGCTCAGCTGATTCAAACGTTCTTGGTATGCTGGTCTTCTGGGACCGAAGGACATTCGGGTTGCTCCGAGGGATGCTCGTTCAATTCAGGACGCCAAACTTGTCCTTTATATTCTAGGATGGGCCTATCGTGAACTTTGTAGAGGTTAAAGTTTCAGGAGACGTTTTCGGAAAAACTTTTCAAGAGGTACAATGGGCCTGTACATCTTAGTAGAACTTTTAACTCAAACCATGTTTATAATGATACTTTTATACATAAATAATGATTGTTTGGACATAAATAATAGTACCTTCTGAAAACGGACCCTCTTATGACGTAGAAACCTCATCTCGCCATAGTTAAAAGAAAATACCAAACGCCCGACGTAGACTGAAGTAACTGTTATATTAATTCTTTCAACTGTGATCCCGCGCTAATTCACTTTGTCAGAAATCATGTATCATTCATCTCTGTCTGGAATAGTCTTTTTTCAGCATTAGTGTTTTGACGTCACATCATCGCCTCGTTTTCAGAGGTCCGAAAAATCGGGGATTTCAATAATTTTTTATGAAATGTAAGGAGCTCACAGCAAGAAACGGTTTGCGGTGGTGAGCTAGTTTGGGTGAGTTCTATCGAATCATGAAATACATTTTTTTGTGAAACAAGCCCATTGTGTGTTTGATCGTTTGCATATGTTTGAAATAATTATGTTGTGACCACGTTAAATTGCTGGTTATGGTAACTCCAAGATCATTTTGTGGCATTCAACCTCAACTAATTGCTCATTATTGATGGTATAGTTTTGTCTTGGATTATTTTCACCAAGGAGGAGTACAACACATTAATCAATATTCACTGGTAGTAACCACTCACAACTCCAGTTGAATATAGCAATTAGGTCATTTTGCAATATATGTTGTGATTTTGTACTATTATAAAGGTTTGTGTCATTTGCGTAAAATTAACAGGTTGACTTGAAAATATGTGATGAATCTGATGTGTACCACAAAAACAACAAAGGATCAAGTTCGGATCCTTGGGGAACTCCACTCCATACAGGATAAGAAGCACTCATCTATCCAAATACTAAAATGAATGTCTTCTAGAAAATTCTGGATCCACTTCAATAGTAGCCCGGGTACACCAAAATTTTCTAGTTCAAACAAAAGTATATTTCTGGGGACACTGTCAATTTGGAACAAAACCATGTTGTTCCGGAATTATTTTGTAATATAACGGGAAAGTTTTTAATCCATCACTTATTACATATCAAAAGTTCTGTCAATTCAACAGGAATTCAGTTTTCCTTATGAAACGTGCGGTATATTTTCAATGTAATTGAATATTGTTGAAGATAAATTTTAAAATCTCACCTTTGACACCATGTTTCTCTCCTCTCTCATTAACAATATCTTATCAAGGCAAGTTGGGCTCAGATCGTAATGTTCTGAAGCCACATATCTACTTCTATGTACAATTGTTTTTTTGGTAAAATTCGGATGATATCTTAAAATGCGTACTTAACGTATAATAAAAACGTCAAATTCATGGTATTCTACCTTTCTGCTCTACATCACTTCAAACGGTCCCCCTTCTATACAGGGTGTCTGGAAATTATGTGCAAAAAATCAAGGGGGTGATTCTGCATGAGAAAATATGAAATTTATTCCATATACACATGGGTTCGGAAATGCATAGATTTCAAGATACAGTGTGTTAAACTTAAAGAAAAAATCGTTTTTTTATGAATATATCAAATATCCTTCCACCGATTCTCTTACATTTTGGCAATGATATTCTTTGTCATAAAGGGCTGATTTACCTATAATTTAATTGGAATTGTAAAATCCAGTGGCGTCCCGGGGGCACCCTAGCGAATATTATTGTCAATAAAATGTGCGCCACTGATTTTTTTAAATTCTGTATCTCCATATCCTATAGACCAAATAAAAATACAACATTTTGGTCTCCTGAGTTTTTTTGATATTTTGCTTCGTTTCCGTGGAAAAAAATAAATACCAATTCATTGTATGCAGTGCTAAACATTCCTACAAAAACAGGGGTGAAAATAAATGTGTGATCCATGTCCATAGACATAGAATCAGTATGAAGATTCGTTCTCTTCCAATATTATATAATATACATGTTCGACAAACTTTGTATTATTGAAAATTACTCCTTCCTGGACCGAGGATACATACTTCTCAATATACAGAGTGTAGAGTGTGTTAAACATGTATCATGAGATACTTGAAGAAAATTAATCTTTTTTTTATTCTATGTCTATGAACATGAATCACGCATTTATTTTCACCCCAGTTTCTGAAGGAATGTTTTGGCACAAATTTATGCAATAAATTGGTATTTATTTTTTCCATGGAAATGAAGCAAAATATCAAAAATAAAATGAACACCAAAATGTTGTATTCTTAGTTGGTCAATAGGTTATGAAAATACAGAATTCGAAAAAATCAGTGGCGCACATTTAATCAACAATAATATTCGGTAGGTTGCCCTCCAAGATGCCACTGGATTTCATAATTCCAATTGAATTATGGCTATATCAGCCCCTCATGACAAAAAATATCATTGCCAAATTTGAAGAAAATCGGTGAAGGGACATTTGAGTTATTCATAAAAAACCGATTTTTTTATGGTCAACACACTGTATGTTGAAAACTATGCATTTCCAGACCCACGTACATATTAAATGAATTTCTTATTTTATCATGTAGAATCGCCCCCTTGATGTTTTGCGCATAATTTCCGGACACCCTGTATATCAGATATCAGTAGGGCGATTCTACAAATTTTGACTGTTATGAATAACGATCAATATGATCAGTTTTTCAAATCAAATCAAAATAAGCTTTATTAGTCCTAAGGACTCCTAAGATGAGTATTCTCATTGAATAAAAGAAAAGAAAAACAGAAGAATTCACCCTATATATATTGGAAAAGAAGTGAAGAAGACTCTTTCCCCCCTCAGGGGCCTCTATTCGTGATAGGAGTATGTACAGTTCCTCATGACTCACCCTGTATATCATACTGATGAAAAAAATTACATTCCGACGGAATTCCATGTTGCATAAGTGCATTTTTGTTTTCATAGGTTGATCTCGAACACCAAAGAGTAGTTTGGCAAGAAGAGGCTCAGCAGCTTGCCAGACAGTTGAAAATACCTTATATTGAATGTAGTGCCAAAATGAGAATGAATGTTGATAATGCCTTCTATGAGCTGGTTCGTGTTGTAAGAAAATTTCAGTTGTCTGAGAGACCACCACTCAAACCAAATTTTATCAAAAACAAAAAAAAGTGTTGTATGTTGTAGTTGTTTCAAATTGAGCTCTTTTACATCACATCACTGGTGGTCGATCCAGTGACTATTTTTTAAAGATTGTGATTTATTGGTGCACATAATGAGCCTGCATGTCAATTTTATTTAAATTTATTTATTTGAATTTTTGTTTGCAAAATTACATTTTTTCACACTGTTATTCATTTCACAACTATAATTTCTGAACATTTAATAATAGCTGTTATCTCATGTATTTTCACCAAGGACTATTTTCACTGCCTTTCACTGAGTTTTTCATTGAATAGATGATGGTAATGGATATGGATAATTTACTTATAGCTTCCTGATGACAATACTGTTGAAATAATTTTCTCAAACACTGCAAGTTCATCTGATTTACTCCACTCGACATTTCGAGGGAGAATGTAATTTTATCAATTAGCAAATTTGATAAAAATATCTAAGATTACTGTAGTGTTGCTTTTGGGATTTAGGTCTTAGGTTGGAGAAAACTATATTTCTTGAAAGTCAACGTATATACGTATGTACATCTAACAGAAACCTGTTATGGTTCATCGCCATCCGTGTTACACGGAAAACTATTCTCATTGCCCTAAAGATGTCAAAATAAATCGACGAAACGTTGGCTTTCAAGAATTTTTTTTTACCTTGGGCCTAAATCCCAAAAACAACATCACAGTAATCTTTCAAAAGGTCCTAAAATAACTATGAATATTCTATGAAAAATCATATACTATGTTCGAAGTTTTTGTGATATACCTACTAGGTTATTGAAAAAACTTCCATTATCTTCGGAAGGAGGCTGTGGGCCGGTTGCATAAGGCTCCTCATTGACTTTGATGAATAATTAACTCTCCTAATACAGTAGCTAAGACATAATATGTTGCCATGAATATAAACAAACTAAATATTTAATCATATATCTGTCAAATACTTTATGTAACAGGCCCTGATGTAACTCTTCCCAAAAATATTAATTTTTCCATGATTATCAAAGTTACTCGGCATTCAATACGGATTTATAAAAATGATCCCAAAATGTTCTAGAGATATGAGGAATAATTTGTGATAGAAGTAATCCTAGAATGATTACAGTTTTTCAATTTGTTTGGATACTTATTATTTCAAAATCTAGGCAAACATTATTCATTCAATCGATTTCAATATTGATACTTTTTTCACTATTTTCATTTAAAGGGGCCAATACTATTATAAATATTATTTTTCCAAGTAATGATGATTTTGGGATTCAAATCTTTGGCCTTCTGACTATTTCCCAGATATTAAATATTGAACCAATCATAAATTGCAAATATGTTCCTGGGAAACTTGCAGCCATAGATAACTTGCCAAGTCCATAACATAATATGTCATACAAAAATATATAGCTAAGAATAATATGTGGGAAATAGTCTGATTGATGTACATAGTTAATCTTAGCTAATATTCAATGTGCAAGAACACCAATAATTTTATTTTTATATAAATTATATTTTTCTAGATCTTAGATATTGTATATCATGAAAATCATTCTTTAAAACAGTAGAAATCAAACAAAGCATCTATTAATAGTGTACAACCTTTGCAAATTCCTATTGTTCAGTTTTATTCAGTTTCACTCCACAGAAATGGAACTAACTGAAGTCTGCGAGTTCCCTATTGAAAATCATTATCAAATAATTCTCCAGAATCTTTTTGTGAATTTGTGACCAGCATTAAACCATCATGCACAATAGTATATTGTTTAACGAGCACGAAATGATAGTGATTAGCGTGCGAGTTATGCACTATAATTTTTCTACGGCTGTAACAGATATCAGCGGCACTTTTTATTTCTTCGTTTTGTAGTCATCTGATTTCCTGTCAAGTGATGCTCATCTATTAGACAGAGCTCTCATTGGTTGAAATTTGACATTCCATGAGCGATGAGAGTTTCTTGAAATAATAACACTTGGGATATCAGATACGGAAATAAAATTGATGACATACGACATACAAAGTACCTCATTGATGTATCGAACTCAGTAAAACAAGAGCAATTTTGTGTTATAGCCGTAGAAAAATATAATTGTTCTACTGGAGCTAATTTATTTCAAGTTGATGAAGGATAATTTGATTGTTTAATGACTGAATTTTCCAATTAGTTCCAATTATTGGGAATGACAGTTCTTTCAGACCAGAATATAGGTACTACTGAGTAGGTACTGGTCATTGATTTCACTTTTTTATTTGATATTATGCCCTTTAACTGGGAATCTGTTGAGATATATAGGTAAGTAGTTATTAAAAACAGAAAATTGATAATATTTCATGATTGCTCCTAAATTTGTACACATGAAATCTGGTTTAGATTTTCACTATGCTTTATATTCGAATTTCTTCAACTGGCATGATAGACATTAGCAGTAGGTACCTATACTCCGTATCTTTTTATCCAATTGCCAGTCTCTAAATTGCTTATGAAATGTCAATTTTCTGAGTATATACATAAGGAATATGGATGGATATACGAGGTAATACCACTACAAAGGTAGCAATATACTTACTGATATTTTCAACAGTATAATATCTGGATATGTTCTGAATATTCCAGATAATTCTGTCGCTTCATTGTTCACGAAATTATGTTGCCGAGCAATACCACGAGTCCCCCAAGACGAGTGGTATTGCTGAAGGAGTTTTTGGTCATAAAGTATGGAAGTTGTTTTTTCTAAATAACTATATTGATATACAGGATGTTCCTAAACGGTATGTCAATATTGAAAGAGGTGAATACTACCTACTTGACTTATTCTACAAGTAAAATTTGGTATAAACATGCGTGTCCCAAATTGCTTATTCGTTTCTGATAGGTGCCTACTTATCATGTTGAATTAAAACTGGTTACTCCAAATTTCAGTGACTGTGATAGATTGATAGATTGATAGATTCCAGAAGATAAAATAACAATTACAAATACTTATAGTATTTTTTTTTTGTTCTAAAATTGTTCTTATCCATCATTCGGCTGCCCCCTTACCAACTCTCAGAAGTCTTCAAGAAACTTGTGCGAGCAAGGAATGACAGGGGTCTTACCTTTTAACGTATGATCCCAAACACTTTCTTAGGCCATTAGAAAAATTTCTGCGGTCGTGGTGGGAATCGAACCCACTACCGGTAATCCGCAACGTGAATAGAACATTGACGCTCTAACCACGAGGCTACGCTGGCCTATGAGATGATTTTGAAATTTTGAGAATAGGTCAGTGACTTCCTAGATTGAATTTGGCATAATGAAAGTTCAAACAGGGTGATCAATTAATGATATCATAATGAAAATCAATTGATGTTCCCAACTCCAACACCCTAAATCTTGTAAACAGGGTCTGAATAAGTCATGACTTTTATAAAAAAGTAAAAAAAGTCCGACCTTTTGAATAAATTCGGACTTTTTTGAATCAATTGATTTGAGAACAAATCGAATTCTATTCACTTTAACAAAATACAAGAACATCGAAAAAAACTAAGTTTTTATTTCCGTTCAAAAACTCAAAGCATAACAAATAAATACTTAAAATATGCGATTTTTGAAATACAAACGATTGAATGAAAAATTATGTTTATGAAACTTATACTACTCATTCACAATCTTCATTATAGAGGTGCTCCACAGTTATTTTCAAAAAACCGGATTAGTGTCACTTTGGAAAGAAATTTTTCGTTGCATTGCAAGAAATGAGTCCGGACCTATTTATTCATTTTACGTTATTTGTATTATTGGTGCAATTTTAGTGGTGACATGTTAGATTTTAGGAATTTCACGCATCATTATAGATGCATATTGGATCTTACTTTTCTTGCCTTTCTCATGGTTTCTTCTACACAACTCTTGACCCAACTCAAAACTCGGTGAGAAGTAATACACAGAATCTATGACAAAAAGACATTGCAAGCCGGTAATTCCGATTAAGTGTTGAATAGCCTACATATTATTTTTGCCGGAAATATGAATTGGATCAATCAATTGCATGCAATGAAGAATTGTAAACTGTGAAGCGGCTCTAAGAAAATTTTGTTTTCCGCGTGTGTGTGTGCTTCACGGTTGTCAGTTGTCAGATGCCATCGGATATATTTCATTTTAAACTAGTTAAAATTGAAGGTAATAATGAGATTTGTTCCCATTTGATAAATTTTGAATTAATTCATGACTTATTTAAAAAAAGTCATTTGAATTAATTCACGAATTGAATCACTGACTTAATTCGTGCCAACCCTGCTTGTAAACAAGGCATGTTTAGGACACATCTTTATACGAACTTTTATTCATTCATTAGAAGCCAAAAGGATTTGCCTTCTTCAATATTGAAATATCATCTGGAGCATACTGCATCAAATATATTCTGAAAGTCTAACATCCGAGCAAATTTGTCCTGGACTGTCTTGAAAAAAATTTGGAATAGGTATAATATGTGGTTGATGGTGTTAGCTTAGCAAACCCCATCCATCCTTCCATTTGTCTTTTATTTTCATTCATAAAAAGTTTATAGAAAGTGAATAGAATGATCATCGTTCAAACATTCTGTTGGATACTGAGTATAGCACTGCCATAAATGTTTTTTTTCTGTGACGGGAAAAAAGTTTGGCATTTCATCTCTGTTGGCAGGTTATAAAATGTCACTTTTCAAAAATTACTTTTTTCCCGTGGGAAAAAAGTGAGTACTTCTTTCCCGGATATATATCACATATAATATATACTCGGTTAATGGCTTTTATTGTGCTATAGTTCCGAAAAATAAGTCAATAATACCGTCTCCGAGAAAGAACTGCAAGTCTTTTTATCTTCCATTCGACTTCGCGGTATCGTATATTACTAAACAACTACTGAATTCACAATTTTTTAAAATCAAATCACAGAATTGAACTGACAGAAGTGACATCAGATATTTGATTACTTCAAAAGAATGATGAAGATGTCTATAAAACGCAGGTGTCCCTACTGTTAAAAACTTGAAATTTCACGTCGATAATTTTTAGATTTCGAAATAATGTAATATCTTCCAATATTGATTCGTCCTTCCTTCTGTCACAGAAAAAAATAGTGTATTATACACGGGAAAAATATTAGATTTTAGCTCACGGTTTTTTGTCTCCCTCCGCTACGCGTCGGGAGACAACACAACCTGGAGCTAAAATCTACTACTTTTTTCCCTTGTATAATAAATAACTATTTTTGTGCTAGGTATATCTGTTTTCACAATGCTAACTCAAGTGGTGTCAATTATTAGTAAATTTAAGAAAGAACGTATATATAATATTGTAAAGTATTCCGTACTAAACAATCATTTATATGTACAGGGTTATCCATCGAGAAGGCCCACTCCTATATAGTCGTTTTTTATACCGAGAAAAAAAACAACATGCAGAAGTTGAATACCATTATACATGGTGTCCCTAAAAGGTCTGTACAACATCTCAGCACATATTGCTTCAGGTAAAAATAAACCGATTCAAAACAACTTATCTTTCTCCGAAATCGCTCCATTTCCGAGATACAGGGTAGTGAATTTGAAAAACAAAAATCAGTTTTTTCAAAATGTATTATGTATATAACATTTCTCAACGTATCACTTCAAGAATTGCTAGCCAGTGGCTTTTTGGGATGCGGAATCCGAATACGGAACCCTTTTCACTGTGGCTACTAGAGGGCGCTTACCAATGCACTTCTTATGGTTTCGAATGGTAATAACTTTTTTTCCAGTGTAGTTTCCACTTTCTTATGTTGAAATGATTTTCTGAATATTTTCAAGCAACAAAGGTACATTAGCGAAAATTCGCCAAAGTGAGTCGTTTTTGAGATATTTTGGTTTTTATTGTTCGATATGCCGCACCGGAAAATTAAAATTATTTTGAATAAGAATGTTTTGCTGTTATCTTCGTGGATGCAATTTGGTAAGTGATTGGGCAGTGTTGTAATATATTTTTCAAAATACTTTTTTCGAATGTACTCGTCGATTTTTATTTTTTGAATTTACCACCCTGTATCTCTCGGAAACGGAGCAATTTCGCATTGAGGCAAGTTGCTTTGAATCGACTTATTTCGACCTCAGGACTATGTGCTAAGATTTTGTACAAAACTCTTAAGGAACACCCTGTATATGGCCAATAAATTATCTCCAAGTTTTCTGACCCCAGGAGAGCAATACTTGTGTTGGCATAAAAATATAAATGTTACAGTTGTATCTTCCAGTAATATTCAAGTTATAATTATAATGAATACATTTCCAAATTGATTAAGTGATCACTAATTCTAATTCATGCAAAAATTGTTCTTCTGGTTATTCAAGTTGTAATGAAATCAAAAGTAGATGTAAAAATATATTCTTGTAATCACAAAAATAAATAAAACAGTATGTTCCACTGAAAAAAAGATTTGTAGTTTGTCATGCTTTTAGGAATTACCCTGTAGACATTTTGATGAGGACTGAATATACACATATACATAATATATATAACCCTGTACTTATTTGTATTGTATATTTGATTTATAACATATATGTTCACTAATCATTCAAATTGGTATGACAAATAAATTGTTTTAACATTGAAATTGTTTTAGTTTGTGGAACCTACCCCATATTTATGTTGGAGAGGTAGGAATGTATCATTGTTTGACCTCACCTGTAACCAGATGAAATTAAAACAGTTAAGTGATTAGCCTGATAACATTTGTGAATTCTTGAGAAACCTTAGCCATCTTTTACTAATATTTGATTTGGAAAATAATAGCTGATGTTGAGGCAATTGAATATATTAGTAATCTTTCATTCCCACTGAATCAATGAGGACCAAGATACTTTCTGATGAAAAGGATGAAAAGAAAAACATGACTTGTAGAAAAATATTTATTAACAATAAATAAATGAATAATTCCCACTCAAACAACAGACTTCTTACTATAAAATAAACCCATCATTGCATCTTGTAATGCCCTAGAACAAGCTATATTTGACTTGAAGCCACCTGCTCTTTCTTGTTCAGTTTCACTCCTAACATGGCTAATAAAACCTTTCTCCAGTATATCTCTAAGAGTAGGGGGCTTGGGCCCATCAGGAGGAAAATCAAGTGCTTTATAAGAATACAAAGGACCCTCATCTGTGGGCACAGGTATAAATGTTGACTGAGGTTGCCTGCCAAACTGTATTCCAGTGGAAAATTGAGTAACTTTTGGTGGAGGTTTTTTAACTTCTTCTTCCTTTGCTTGTTGTGCAAGTTGAGTAAAAGTGTCTAAGATATTTTTGGCATCTGCATTTGAAAACATTAGTTCATCAATAAGGGCTTCCTTTTCCCTAATTTTCTTCTTTTTTGCCTCTAATACTTCCAAGTGTATTTCTTTCTTTCGAGCCTCTTCCATTTGCTTCTCTAGTTCTAACACCTCCTCTAACTCATATTCATCCCTTCCTATTTTACCCTTACTTTTCAATATTTGTTCCCTATTGTCTTTCTTGTACTGTTCAATTTTTTTATTGGTATTGACAACATCTATGTCATTGGATAAATTATAAATTATGGATTCAACTTCTTCTAAATAGTCATTATATTCCCTTAAAGAATTGAAGTCTTCATATTTTTTATTGAAGTCTCTCAATACTCTTTTTCTAATATCAACTTCCTTCTCTACAGTAGCATCTTCAAACAGTTGGACTCTGAAATTGTTCCTGCGTAATGGTATTTTGCATTCTGGGCAAGAACCCGATCCTTTCAAAAACAGTAGATCAACACAACTTTCACATAATCCATGTCCACAAACATTTACCATCATTTTCAATGAAGGATTTTGAAATTTTGATGTTCGACATCTTGGACATGTAAAATCGTCCATTTCCTACTAAACGATCAATAACAATACTATCAACTAGTCTTATTTTTTCAGTGGTTCCTGATGTAGAAAAGTAAACAGTGGAGCTGTGCACCGAGACCCTTTCAAGACCTCTTTCTGCTTTCACCAGTTTCACCTCTTTGAAATAAGGTTAGATTAAAATCCAAACATTCGGATTTGGAACTCTGGTTGACGTTGACAGTGACAATACCTTGACTCACGTCTCACGTCATTACTCGTTAGCTGCGTTCGGTTTAACAAAATCGGAGCCGAGCGAGCAGATGCAGATTTGGTGTCACGTGATCACCTAGCAGATAGAGCTAATGGTATTTAACGAACGCTCAACGAGGTAGTAGATTGCGAGCGCCAGCTGTCAGAAGTAACAGAAAACAGAAACAATTCACTTAACCTTATTACTTTTAAAAACACGTCAGGGCAACAAAGTTCTTTTGAATGTTTGTTATTTATATTTTGAAAATTACTAGGGAAGGAATGATTCTGTCTCATATGATCGGTCATTAACTGTGGATCCAGGGCAGTTGTGATCGCATATATTACAGATATATAATTAATATGCTACCTACAGCAAATTCGTCGGTCATTCTGGCGATTCTGGGCAAGGAGGATTCTACAAAATTCAGTTTCGTATTTCGTTTTCAGTTGATCGAGTCTCCAATTTTTCGACATAAAAGAGATATAATTTCAATAACATGTTGTTGACATTGATTTGTTGACAATTGACAACCGAATAACCGATCAAATCTGAATGATCTGCTCCTCAAGGCGGAGCAAACAGATTACATCTTTCAGCTCGCTCTGACAATTAACGAACACGGAGCAGATTAGACAGAGGAAGTAGATCTGATTTATCGAACGCTTTCCGAGCTAACAGATGGAATCGAGCTAACAGATATGTTATAACCGAACGCACCTGTTGATACTCTTTCACACGGAAAGTGTAGCACTTTCCAACACGTTGAATTTACAGTGATTGATTTGAATCGATGACGGCTGAGTATATTCGAATATTCTTCATGAAAAGTGTATTTTAGTTCAGTTAATGGGTCCAATTTATTCTTTGGCGACATTCGCAGCTGATAAAATGTGAACTGAATATGCTCTAAAAGTGCTGGATAGTCCTAGTGCGCACCGTAAAGCCAAAAGGTCACAATCAACTACACTAACGTTTATGGAAAACTGGAAAAGGTCTTCTCAAAACATTCAGTCGAAAGACAAGTTTAGCAACACAAACGAACAGACCTAATATGTCCTCTGTGTCCCATAGTGTCTAGTCACAGGAGCAATGCCTAAATCTTTCGAACCATTCCCATCACGTGATATGTTGATATTCGTGTTTTTTTATGACTATTTTGGAGGATGATGGCGAGTTCACATGCCAGCTTATGCCTACAGCAGAAAGCTTGAATAAAACGGGCGCACTGTTCACATGAGAAAGTTGGAAAAGTGACAGTGACTGCCACATATTTGGTTAAATTTCAAATGTACGTCCTCCAGAAACAACATATATCACATTTTTAGGAGTGTTTTTCCACTACTGTTTCCCACACTGCATAATATGATGATATAGCACCAATATGTATTCATTTTGTCAATATTTGTGTGGTTCTGTCAAACGATCTGAGCTTTTTTCCGCAAAAGTCGGACTGAAACCGACTTTCTAGCTTATGACCTTGATAAGCGCTTTCTGACGAATCGGCCAATGAGATGAGGATACGCTGTAAGTCAAAAGGCGAAAAGCCAGCATGTGAACGCGCCATGGAGTTTGCTCAGGTATTTTTATTCTGATTCACTAAAAGCATGACGTCAGCCCAATGTGATCATTTGTGTAGTGATTTAGGTTTTCAAGGAGATTTTTCCTTCCTCTCGAGACCCCGAGGATCTTATTTTTCTATGAGCTGATGCGAATGCAGTTTGGGAATGGTTCGAAAACTTTAGGCTCTCGTATGTCAAGGTTCTTTCGACTGCTTTTTAATGTCTACTAAAATGCACTACACTGTGAATCAGCTGATATTCCGGGCAGCTGCACTAACTAATTTCACATGAACGAAGAAAATGGAACTGAAAGTAATTGTGTAATTAATCATTCCAGAATTACGTCATTTGACAGGTTGCTGAGGGGCAAACATTGTATTTTGTCAAGATCTGTCATAGAAAACCAGAATTAGTGGGATCGTTTTCCTTGGAATCCGAGTTGGAACCAGAAAGAATTTCATAATTTTGTTTGGTGAAACTGTTATTATATTGTGGATGTGGCAGAGGGCCTGGGCAATGCTCATCAAAGGTAACCTAACAGATAATTTGTGTGCCCCTCAAGAAACCATGTCAAAATCACGTGTTCTAGAATGATCAATTCGAATTTTTAATTCGTTATTTGATGGGGATTTTCTATTCTGAATATAATCACGTGTATTTCGAGTCATTCACCGTGATTTCATACATTCCTGAATTTGATTGTAATTCACACTAATTCACATCTGCCCAAAAACAGGTGGAGAAGGAATTATACTGGTGTAGACGCGGTGTAGACTGCATATTTCAAAAGAATTCACAAACGCGGTGTAGATTACACGAGGTGTACGAATGTGTTTCAAATGAATTCCAACGACGACTAAATATCTAGACTGTCTGAGTCTAGCTAGATATTCAGCCATTATCGGGAATTCTAAAATGCGGTGTATATTACACGAATTGTACTAATTTGCTACACTTTTCGTACAAAAGAAAGGGCCCTATGTGTTTGGGATCCGTACGTCAAGCGTACGTCAGATTCACTAATGACACTGACACAAATCACTGTCATCGATCCGTCGTCACTCGTCTGACTCGTCAGTGTCGTCGTCGGTCGTCGTCACTCGTCTATTTAAAGGTGTGAAGATGGAATAAAAAAGTTAAAAAAAAAGATTTTTTCATTTTTTTCTGTGCATTGCAGATTGCAGATTTTGTAGCCATATTGCAAGCAAGAAGCAGGTTTCATCGCAATTATAACTGATTGTTCTCATAGTACATGTAAAGTGGACACCGGCCCCAAAATGGGGGATTCTCTGGAAGTGAACGAGACAACAGCCGATACTGAAACTGTTGCGGTCGTTGATTATACTGCGTTTACAAATTTCATCTTGAAAGCGGCTACAGTTCTCTTGCCAGATGATGATAGCCAGGCAGAACCAACAAACCTGGTAACTGCATTGGATGACAAGATGAATCAGGAGTGTATTGAAAATTTCATCAGTGATCCCCAAGTTTCGACTCTTTATATACAAAGAAACTCTTCTAAAGGTAAAGTTCATCATACTCAAGAAATACCCTTATGCTGGGTTTGTAGAATCAACTGAACTAAGAAATAAACAAACAACTATGAATTTAAAAATTGAATACAAGGAGACATTGATGAGGGTTAATTGATAATTCCTAATTGTTAGTTTAAGTAAATCTATAAACACAGCATTAGGGAAACCACACACAAAACTTTTTTTATCTCTAGTTCAAGGGAAGATTCAAGGTATATTACTGTGCAGGTGAATTCAGTTTCAACCACTATCTAAGCTTCAACTAATTATTTTTGTAGATGAATCATTTGGTTCCTTATCATGTTCCTTTTTCCCAGTTCTCATCATGGGATTAAGGTCCATTCATGTTCAATTTCCATTCTTTTATCTCAAAACATTGTGAGAAATTTCACATAAGTGGTTAGGTACTGACTTGGATGCTTGGGTACTTATTATTTTTTCATTTATTTATATATAATATAATATACTGCATCCTCTGGTAGATGTAATCATAATGTTCACATTACAATTTCCATAAATATTGAGTACCTAAGAATAAAACAAAAAAAAATAAATCAAAAGAAGATGTGTTTTCTGATAATAGTTATGAACTGCCTCAATGACATATAATAAATGTCTACATTGCTGCAATATTTATAGAAGTTGTCACTCATCCTATAAGGTGTATCTAGAAACAAGGATATGATTCACAATCAACTAATTTCTGAGCTCAAACCCAAAAAAACTCAGTGGTTAGGCAAAACTTGCTGAAGAAATATAACCACCTACCCACCAGAGAAGCTAGCAAAATTATGGTAGAATTTACCAGCAATCTATTTCCAGCACAATTTGGTTTATGTTTTGCCTTATTGGGCCAATTTGGTTTATTCTTTATTGTTGTGATTTTTTAGGTCCTGTTCTACTGAGGTTTCTACTGAACTACCATTAGTTCATAAAAACAATTAGTATATGTATTGACATAATATATGAATCTGATGATTTATAGAAAATTAAAAGAATATAATATTTGAGATAATATTACAATTTATTGAAAAAAATGTGTATGTACATAATATTTCGGGATGGAAGGAAGCTTGGAGAATATTGTCAAGTTTGAATTCTTTCCATTGTTTTTTTCTCAAAATATTTTTTTTTCACTTAAGTTTTGATTGGAGATGATTGGAGATGATTTGAGGGAAACTTTTTTTTTCTTATATAAAATCATTACTCAATTACCTTTTAATTCCATATTTTTCAAGATTTTTTCAGTTGATTTTAAGGTGCTAAAGTCATCACAACAGCTAAAAATTCACCACAAATAAAGACTGATGAAATTATTTACGAAGTAGGAGCAGACCATAGCCATTTATTTATTTATTTATTTATTTATTTATACTGATTACAAACAGACTGTGTCTAATAAAATGTATCAGTTAGGGAGGTAGAGAGAATGGAATCAACTAAAGCTAAAACTAAAAACTATATACATTATACATTTGAGAGACTCTCAAGTCACATCACAATTAGTTTTACCTAGTTTAACATTACATATTAAAATAACAAAAACAATAAAAAATATTAAAATAGTTGACTTGAATATATCACAGGTGAGAGAGAAGTGAAGTTTTGGAGATATTCCAGATATCAATTTCACATGTTTTTAAAAAGTTGTTGAAGGTTGTTGAGCAGCTGTTGATAGGAGAACTCACAGTACATATTTTGAAAACAGTATTTTTGGATCTCAGCCTTACATCAGGTACATTTATGTGAATATTCATCAATAAGTCAGGTACATTAATCAAAAATAAACAAGATCTGAATTTTCTCACGCCGTTTACTCAAAGTCTCTATGTTGAAGTCAATCCTTTGGTGTTCATATGATACTCTCATTGGATATACACCATATTTTTTCAAATGCATAGATCTCAGAAGTTTCTTCTGAATCTTTTCAAGCATATTAGAATATAATTCTGTCTCAGTATTCCATATAATACAACAGTACTCCAACTTTGATCTGATATATGAGTTAAAAAGCATCATGCAAGTTTGATACTGAAAATCCGTACTGGATCTCATTATAAAACCTAGTTTTCTATAGCACTCCCTGCTAAGGCACTTGACATGTTCATTGAATGAAAAATTCCTTGTAAAAAGTACATCTAGATCTCTGATTTCATCTAATATTTCCAGATCAACATCGTTGATGGTATAGTTTACAAGGAATTATTTTTTTCTTCTTGTATATGAGACTATTTTACATTTCGATTCATTCAGTGAAAGGTCATTATCATTGCAATACTTAGTAATCTCATTAATAATACATTGAAATGTTTTTGTATCCTCTACTGAGGTTATTTTCATAAAAACTAAGTCATCTGCATATAGAAGAAATTTTGCATCTTTGAGGTAATCATCAATATCATTGACAAACATAACAAAGAGCAACGGTCCCAAAATCGAGCATTGGGGAACACCTGAGATACTGATGAAGCTATCTGATTGTGAGCTGTTGAATTTTACAAAGTTTAGAGGATTTTTCTGTAGTAGTCCATGCTCAAAGTGGAGTGGAATGATCAATAGAGAGAAAACCCAAAGTCGTCTCCACAATATTTAATGTATAATCTGGCAGTCAATCCTGCTTCATTAAGGTTGATACATGTTTCGGCCATTCAAATGGCCATCTTCAGTCAAAAGAATACAACAAAGTGCATGTGGAAATACTTCATGATGCATATTTTCTCGTAATTTTCCTTCTTATATGTTGTGTCTTATTGCATGTGATGAATTTGTGTTGAAAATAATTATATTAATTCACACTAGTGGAGATTTCCTCATTTTCTCAGTTCTCAGATTTTAGCACAACATTGCCAAGTCTCTACCCTAGCTAACATTCACATGATGCTGTGTTATGGAGTATAAGAAATATTTTAAAAACAACATTTTAATATGACAAAATAAATACATATAGATATACTTATAGCGAGGGGTAAATCACGGCAAAAAAAATTCTATATCAAACTTCTCATGGGTCAAAACTTGCCAAACTTCCTCGAACTTCCTCAAACTCCCCAGAACTTCCTCACACTCCCCCGAACTTCCTCAAGCTTCCCCGAACTACCCAAACTTCCTCGAACTTCCCAAACTTCCCCGAACTTACTCAAACTGCCTCGAACTTCCTAAACTTCCTCGAACTTTCTCGAACTTCCCAAACTTCCTCGAACTCCCCAAACTTCCTGGAACTCCACAAACTTCATCGAACTTCCTAAACTCCTCGAAATGTTTCAGACTTCACAAACCAAGTATAAGCAATTCAATATTTATCGATTCAAAATTTGTTTCTTTCCCTATGGTAGGTAGGTGGGTATCTCGGTAGGTAAATACAGGATAGTCCGGTTTGTAATACAAAAAATTCAACAGTGTGTTGTACTCGTTGAGATAATGAAATACTTTTAAACGCGTCGTTTTCGAGATATAGGGTGTTGAAAATACGAGTCTGAACGAGTCTGAATATTGTTTTTTAATGAAAAGATTGAAACGGTCTGAGATAAATCAACAAAATCTCTAACAGATACTAAACTTTTTACGCTCTATAAGATGGAATGAAAATTATTTCATAAAGTAATTCAGTGGCGGCTGAATCTGGGAGTGTTGAAGGAAAAAAATCACCCCAATTTTTTTGTGCATTCAATTTTTCATTTTCGAGTACAAAATGTGAGAGAGAACAGATAGATTTCTGCATATAATAGTTCTGTTGTATTTTTTCAATGCGTTACAACGCTTTCGAATTGAACCGGATTAACAATATGAGAAATCAGATTTTGAACTACAAATTGAGAAAATGCACAAATAAAAATTGGGGCGATTCATCCGCCACTGAATTACATTATGAAAATAATCTTTATTTCATATTATAGAGCGTAAAAAGTTCAGTATCTGTGGGATATTTTGTTGATTTATCCCAAACCGTTTCGAATTTTTCATCAAAAAACAATATTCAGACTCGTATTTTCAACACCCAATAAGTATTATTGACCAGGCTTCATCTGATTATTTAGTAGGCTTCATCCCAATTCCACATTACATCAGTTATAATAAAGACCTGAAATGCGGTTCATCGATGTTGAAATAGAAACTTACCTGAATATTTTTTACAACGTTCGTAGTTGGATTGCAACATATAAGTTTTGTTTCTGAATAGAAGTTTTCTCAGTAGAGTTCATCCACATCTCCACATTACGTGGGTTATAATCAAGACCTGGATTGCCAAACACTGTGCTGCTCGGATCTAAAACTATGTATCAATTTGAAATTTAATTCGTGAGACGAACATGAATGAAGAGTCTGCATATTGTTTTCAACGTTCGTTACTGGAATGCGATATATTTTCGTAATTTATTAATTAATCAACTATCTCAATGAATACGAGGCGGGCAGATAAGCAACAATTTTCTCTGCGATGAAAAACTCTGTATACAGTGTGTCCATTTAGTGCGTAATTCTTCGATATCTCGAAAGCCATAACCTATAGAGAAAAACTTTGAAGAAAAAACTTTTTCAGTTACTAAAGTTGCTCAATTCAAAATTATTTTCAACATTACTGGGTGTTTTATAAAAGCAGGGCAACTCGAAGAAGAGTTTTTTTGAATGGAACACCCAGTATTGTTCATTCGGAATTAATTCCGTCGAGGTTCACCTTCACATCGCTGTGAAAAAAATTGAAATCGGTTGCGGCGTTGCCAAGTTACAAGTGATAAATCTATTTTTACCATTATTGAAGAGTCATGTTGAATTGGGCATGGTATATTCATTTATTCAGATTTTGAAAATATTTTTGGCATACGGTAGGAGCAAGGACCAACGTATACCAATCCAGTAATTTTGCGACATGTTCTTCAACAGGGTGCTCAATTTTGCATTCAGAATTTTGCGAGATTCAGATGACGTTCATCAGAATTTTTCAAATGGAACACCCTGTATTTTTATTCAAAAATTAATTTTGACATCTTTCGC